GACAAACTCGATTTAGCTTCACAACACTTAAGTCTCTTGCACACAAATCAAATTGAATCAAATAATTCCCTAAGGATCTAAGCTGTTAGCTAATCTTCCTTTTCTCTTTTATTTCTATTGTTGTCCGGCCATTGTGTTGATATTTTCAAGCTCGTTAGCTTAATTCCGGATATTTATATAGACGTACACATAATTCTATATAAATAATTATTATTTATAATTTATGTATATATAAAAAAAAATATTGGAATTTTTTTAAGTATATATATATCTTATATTAATCTTTTCCTATAAAATAATAATTTTAATTGCAAAATCTAAGAATCAAAATTTAGAATTATTATTAATAAAGAAAAAACTCAAAGTTTTTATCATTTATTCCGGAGATATCCATACAGAATTTTGTAGGTAGGACTTAAATATTTTAAATTGAAAATAATGTAATATAAATACCATACAATGTCATAATCTTTCAGTTCATAATTAAACATAGAAAAGATTCGAACTTATCCGATTTCTCTCTTTCTAATATACAGAGGATTCTAACTTTACCGATTTGTCACAATGCAATTAGATTTTGGACAGATTGTTTCTGAATTGCTTTTTTTCGGGGCGAAAAAATAAATAAAATTGGGCGTAGTAGTTAAACAGGCTCTCTATATTAAAAACTATGGTGTTGACAAAAAAAAAAAAAACTATGGGATTAGAACTAATTTAAATTAAATTAAATAAATTCATAAAATTTTAGGAAAAATAGGAAAACTATTCAATATTAAAAAGGTAATGGAAAATTAATTTGCCATTATTTGAAGAAAAAAATAAAACGTAAGTATGTAACACAAAATGGGACATAATTATATGGCAGGGCAGAGTTATATGGCGGGATGGGTTTGAATCAAAATTAATAAAATTTTAAAATATCATTAACTTGTGTCTTCAATACGAGTTAAATCCTCACTTTATTATTTTGGAAGACCTGTAATATTAGACATATCGAATCTATCTAATTTGTTAAGATTATAGAAAACAAATATTATTGCATGGTATACTGTTACTTAATGACAATTATAAATTATAAGTGTCTTAAAAATGATAAAATTTGCAAATTTTTATATATAATACATAATTTTAAAAATTTTAAAATCATAAATTTTAGAACAAAATTATCCCGCGGTGTACCGCGGGACAATCCCTAGTTCAATATTAAAAAGGTAATGGAAAATTAATTTGCCATTATTTGAAGAAAAAAAATTATATGTAAGTATGTAACTCACAGTCGAAGAGAAAATGTATCTCTCTTCACTCTCTAGGATTCTTTGGAGAAAGATAAATTTTTCTTTCTTTCGCTGTCCGGTAGGGCTTGACACAAGATGGGTATCCGATTAGATCTTTACCGCCTTACGGGTAATAAAAAAATAATTACCTTTATTCGATTGGCAAATAACAGATGATTAGAAAACATGTATTAAGTAAAAATAGACGATCCTTTAGATATCCGATATTTTATTTCTACCCACATATCTATTGATAATTCATGAGTAAATTTTTTTTGTACTCGCATAATAATTATGTATTCTAAAATAGAATTATATGTTTTCAAAAATTGGAAGAATTCATAAATATATGCAATTAGGCATTTTAATCGGGCTACCCCGACTTGGTCCGACCCAAAACCTGCATATATGTGAGCTTTGCCTGGCTTGGTCCAAAAAGATTCCGATTCTATATTTTAAAGCTCTGTCCGGCCCTAAATATGTATTAAAGCTTTTCCGGACTTTTTCAGGCTTCTCTTCTAGAGAAAAAAATAAAATTTTAAGTTTATAACATCTCTTGAAAATAGTGAGTCTATGCATAAAATGATACAATGAAACCACTAGTATTCATTAAACACTATTTAATTTTAAGAAACAAAAGTTAAAACCAAAAAAATTGTTTTAACTTATACTAAATAAAATACAAAACAAAAGATTTCAAACTAAATTATGTTGTAGAGCCAAGATTTGAATCCACTTCAATGCATTCTAAATCTTCTTATGCAATGCATTCTAAGTTTTTTCTTGTCATCAAATTCTATATATATATATATATATATATATATATATATATATATATATTTAAATATGTTTTTGAATTTTGACATGTATAAATCATATAAAATATGGTAGATAAAATGTTTAAAATTTAGATAAATATGAATATTGAATAACAATATAACCTGTAAATCCATCCAACCAAGTCTAAAAGAGAAACAAAATATTTTTTTAAGTGTTTTTTTAGGCATGTCTAAGGAAAGTCGGGCTCAACCCCAAAAATTCTTTAGCTACAAGTATATAGTGTATCCTAAGGCTTCGAGATTTAATTTCAAAACAAGTCACAACCAAGACATTTGTTGATCTGGTTTGGAAACTATGTTGATCCGGAATGAATTAAGTTGATCTATGAGAACAATCGAAATATGCAGTAGCTGAGAGATTTTGTGCAAAGTCGATCAAAGGCAAGGAAGTACTTACAGAGTCAATTCCTGAAAGAGAACCCATCTTAAGTGTTGATGAGTTTGTATAAATGTGCTCAATGTGTGACAACCAGACCCCTGCAAGGGCTTGTTCTTATCATCAATATCATTGGGTTGTTACACAAGAGCTTACCAAACAGTTTTTCCAGCTTGTCCTTAAGCTGCGTCTGAGAGGAGCGGGTAGTGCTACTGATAGGTCCCAAATGATTTGCTTTGCAAAAATTAGTGTAAAGGAAAGACTCTAGCTTACACTAGGCTTTGCTGTTGAAGAATTCTTTCATTAAATGTAGCTTTGTTTGGCTTTGGAGGGGATTCATTTTCTGTTGAATAATTGATTGATCCATTTGGTGTTATCTTGCCTACTTTCTATTTTAGAGTAGCATATAGGGTGGGCACAGAACGGATATTTGGAATTTTGGTAGTATTCGTGATCCACTTCGCTTCGTCCGAATAATTGATTTTCTGAGCCGTATTGTTTCCTAAGTAACTGGATATTCGGCTGTCCGGATATCCGTTAAAATCTGAAATATTTGCCGGATATCCGATCCATTTAGTATATATTCAAATTACTTATAAACATTTTTAAAATATATAGAAAAAGTCAAAATTTAATCTATTTCTACTTTAATTGTTAAAACTAATAGTTAAATAATTAATTTGATGACCATAAACTTAAAAAATTACATATAAAAATAGTAAAATTATTAATATATATATATATATATATGTATATATATATATATATCTACATGTATATTGGAGCGGAGTGGATATCCGTCTATTTAAAATTTTTAGTATTTGTTATTTCTTCTGCTTTTAACGAATATCAACTTTTAGTATTTGATTTTCTTTGTAAGACTATGGATATCCGGATTTTTCGAAGCGAATCAAAGCTAATAAAATCAAAGCAAATCTAACGATATTTTGTCCAGCCCTTGCACATATCAATTACAAGTCTCCTAAATCTAAACCAGAATTTAGCTTTTTCAGGGGTTTTCTACTTCAGCCTCTCAACATGTCTAAGGTTTTGAATGAAGACACACAAACTGAGAAAGAGATTGTGGAGGAAGACATAGAACCTAAGTTATGAAATACACAAATTAAAGACTGAGATTTAGCAAGTCATGGAAGCTGAAAACGTTGATGAAGAGAAGATTTCTGGTAGAGCTGCAGCTGAAAGCGTTGATGAAGAGTTTGGTAGAGTTGCATCTACAAGAAATGAGGATCCGCTACCAAAACTTGATGAAATTAAAACAACCGAAACTCAAACCGATGAAGCTGATGGTCAAAGCAAAGATAAACTAGCTTTGGCTATTGCTCAACTCCAGGCTTCAATTGTCAGTCTAACAACTGTTATCACTAACAGTTTTGCAAACAGTCACCGGGCTTCAGTTTCTCCTTTTGATATATAGTTAATATTTAATTTCTTCAAATACTTATAGATACATACCTTATTATTATTATGCTCATTTAAAGAGCGAGAAGATTTGTCAAAGTTTGTCTTGGCAATTTTGGAGGCTTGACTACAATGACATCGTTTTCCATTCCATCTTGAGGACTAGATACACACTGATATTGGATGTATCTCGTTTTAAGCAACTTTGGGTTTGTGTTGTCGTGTGCCAATTTGGCACAACTTCTCAAGCCTTTGGAGGAGCAAGAGGACAAGGTAAAGGCATAGAGGAGCAAGATTAATGCGGAGGAAGAACTTTTTTGATTTGGGTTAGAGCTAATATCTGACTATCTTAAAACTAGAAAAATTCACAAAAATTCGCTTTTGACCGCGGGCCGCGGCCCGGTGAACTGGTTGAATGGGTCGGATAACAATTCATTAGAATCCATTTGATTTTAAAAAGAAAATATTGGATTTTAGTTTATTTCAGTTACTCTTAGAACATTTTCGATTCTTCTCAAACAGCGATATACGACTCAACTGGTGATCTCCTACTATCTTAGTATTTTTTCGGTTTTAGTTGGATTTAAAAAATTTAGTCACTTTATTATTATTGTCAGACTTCATATGTTGTTAAACATGGTATTATTATTCATATTTTTATATTCTTACATTTATATAAAACTAAATAATGTATAAATAATTAAAAAGATATTATGGTAATTTTTGATATAAAAAGAGTAGTTTTTAAATTATCTTATGTTCTTCAAAAAAAATGAAGAAATGATATGAATATAACTAACATAAAAAATTTTATTGCGTACATGCAAACTATTTGATTAGTTTTATAAATGGTGTGTGTGACTAATAATTTTTTTTTTTTGAAAGAATGAAAGAAAGTAATAATAAGTGTGTGACTAATAGTTCAGTTAGGATTAAAACTATATCTTAAATTTTCTCATTATTATTTTATTTTCTTTTTGTTATTCATTAATTCAAGTCAAACAGAACCACAACAAATGGTGCTTGGATAGTTGGACTTTGGAATATTCCAAAAGTTGTACTCGTGTAATGACAAAATATATAAACGGAAAGTTCGTAAACAGTAACAACTAACAATTAAAAAAAAGCAGAAAAAAGTGGCCACGGATCTCTATGAGTCACCAATCAATGACCTCAAATCTTTCATTTTACATTTCCTCTGTTTCTCCTCTTTCCTCTCCTCTTCCATCGATTCGTCGCCTCTCTCTTCGTTGTTGCAGCTCTCTTTCTTCTCACGGTAACTCTCTCCTTGTTTCTCTTACATTCTCATTTGTTGTCTGAATCTTGAAAACTTGAATCCATAAACGCCAAAATCTTGAATTCATAGTCAAAGCTAAATGGGCATTTAATGATTTTTGTTTGATGAATCAATATTTAGATATGGAGGCTAAACCAAGTCAAGGTCTTTACCCACTTCACCGTTGCAAAACCATACATCTGGTTTGTTTTTTTGTTGTTCTCATTATTCTGATTTGGTTTTTATTTTGTTTCTCAGATTTTGATTGATTTCTTGTGTTTTAGGTGAGACATGCTCAAGGAGTTCACAATGTTGAAGGAGAGAAGAACCATGAGGCTTACTTATCTGAGGATCTCTTTGACGCACATCTTACCCCTCTTGGATGGCAACAAGTATGTAAATCAGCCATCATCGTTTATCGGTTTTAATCGCTATGATTTTGCATTGATTTATAGTATAATTCTGGTAGATCTAGTGATATAGACTATGAGATATGAATGATCTGTTGTTGTTATGTTACACATGAAGAGGTTTTTGTGCTGTTTTGAAAAAGGGAAGTAATGTGAAATTCTGTTATTGTAGGTTGATAATTTACTCAAGCATGTTAAGGCAAGTGGGATTTCCAATAGCATTGAGTTAGTCGTTGTGTCGCCTCTGCTCAGGTAATATACTTAACCCGTAAAGCTTATTGATTTGATCTTAACGGCATTGTTTGGATTCTTGCTTGAGACTACTGACTAGTAGTCATCAAGAGTGAACATGCTTATTGATTTATATTCTGCCATTAGTTCCTTAAAAAGCAGTTGTCTATTTACCTCAATACTTGTTTGTTTTAGGACTTTACAAACTGCGGTCGGAACTTTTGGCGGGGAAGGTTACAAAGATGGCCTTAATGCACCTCTGCTTATGACCGCAGGTGCTGGAAACAGCGATCGTCCTGCTATATCAAGCTTAAATTGTCCACCGTTCATTGCGGTTGAATCCTGTCGAGAACATTTGGTATGTTTACTTATCCACCTTTTGCATAATTGGCATTTGCTTAAGAGTAACTTTTTTGAAATGTTCTTGTTTTTGGTTCAGGGTGTTCATCCTTGTGACCGAAGACGTAATATCACCAAGTACCGCGAAATGTTCCCTGCAATTGATTTTTCATTGGCAAGTACCTATTCTATAGAAACTATGATCTTTTTCTATCGCTTTACTTTGGACCGGCTTTGGTGTTTTTTACCTATGTTTTCACATTTTCTCATATTCTTGTATACAGATAGAAAGTGACGAAGATGTCTTGTGGAAGCCTAACGTCCGAGAGGAGGACCAAGATATTGCGGCCAGAGGCGTGAAGTTCTTTAATTGGTGAATATAAGCAATTCTAACATCTCTATGTGATCTTTGTATGATCTTTTTGATTGATATATCAACTGAATTCAGGTTGAGTACAAGGAAAGAAAAGGAGATTGCGGTTGTTACTCATAGTGGGTTCTTGTATCATACATTAAAATCATTTGGAAACGATTGTGATCCATCTGTGAAAAACGAGATTTCTTCAAAGTAAGAACTCTTCCTCTCTCTTTGATAATCATTTGCTATATTATTTATGATATAATTATCTCAAATTCTTTTGTTTGTTGCAGATTTGCCAACTGTGAACTCCGTTCGGTTGTTCTTGTAGATAAATGGTAAGTTTTGTTGTTTATTCAGTAAACGCTCACATTTGATACATTCAAAAATTTTTTAAATTTGTATTCTTCTCTCATTCAAAATGCAGCATGAACGGTTCGGATCCTCCAGTGGCCAACTATCCCGGAAAAATACCTGCCGGAGAAGATCTTCCTAGTGATAATCAGAAGTAGTTATAAAGACAAAAGTGATGAGAATTATGAAAATCTTTTATGAAGTCTCAAAGTTTTTTATTAGTCTTACAATAAAAACTAACAAATTTGATTGCTTTTGATACTGAGAGGAGATTTAAGATGGTTTTTATTCAGTATTTGTCTCAATTTGTTTGTTTTGTTTACCAAAAATTAGTTGATACCATAATGCAGACTTCAAATTTTATACACTCTGCGGAAAATAATACTTTATCAAAACTAAATTTGAATCATAGAAATGGACTTAGCATTAAACATAAACCTTAGCATCACGACATAGAAGGTTGAAAAATTCAGAGTTGAGATAACAAAAGTTGTCTCCCAAAAACCAAAAATTCGTTAAATCGAACCATCTATACCACATACCAAAATTACCAACAAGAGAAAACCAATATTTTTATGCAGAACCAAACAAAAAAAGAAGAACTGATATAAATAGAACTAGTGTAAAATCTTTATTGCGTACATGCAAACTATTTGATTAGTTTTATAAGTGGTGTGTGTGACTAATAGTTCAGTTGTGGGATTAAAACTATTTCTTAAATTTTCTCATGATTCAAAATCTAGATATGGAGGCTAAACCAAGTCAAGGTCTTTACCCACTTCAACGTTGCAAAACCATACATCTGGTCGGATCTACCTTGATTAAGAGGGGGGCAGTTGCCACCCCTAATATTTTGAAATCTTTGAAGAGGTTTAAGGAATTAATATAAATGCCCCCTATGAAAACTCTCTCTTGCCCCCCTTAAATTTGTGTTTTCCAATTTGCCAAATTCACGTTACCTAGAAAAAGGCAAATAAATATAACTAATATCTTTTTCTCTTTAATTTAGTTAAATTCGTCACAAATTTAAATCCAAATGTAAATAACAACCTAATCTAAATGCATAGACCATAATATTTATTTCCCTTTGTATCAACTAAAAATTTAATGTTTAAAAATTTTGGTCTCTCCCCATAACTTTGGTGGTTCATAGTTATTGTAATTGGTTTCTCTATAATATTTTTATGTGTTGTTTTTCAAATATTTGAGCGTTCTATAAAACAATAAATTAAAAACATTAGTACAAATCTAGTAAATTTATATTTTCAATCAAACTAAATATGTTAATAAAAATCTCTAAATTTAGCTATTACTCTTTGATTCTTTTAAACTCAGATGATTTTTAATAGAAAAATTGTATTCATTTTACCTTTTCTCATATAGTATAATGAATTATATATATTACAAATAACAGAGCACAAATTATCTTCAATATTTTTATTATATTATATATATATATATATATATATATATAAATATAAATATCGATCGCCACTGACTGGTTCGTTCGTTTGTTCCCAATATTCTGACTTTTTTTTTGTTTCTCAGATTTTGATTGAGTTCTTGTGTTTTAGGTGAGACATGCTCAAGGGATTCACAATGTTGAAGGAGAGAAGAACAATGAGGCTTACTTATCTGAGGATCTCTGTGATGCACATCTTACACCTCTTGGATGGCAACAAGTAAGTAAATTAGCAATCATTGCATTAACTTATAGTATTATTCTGGTAGATCTAATGATATAGACTATGAGATGTGAATGATCTGTTGTTGTTATGTTACACATGAAGAGTTTTTTTTTGCTATTTTGAAAAAGGTTAATGTGAACTATGTGATTGTAGGTTGATAATTTACACAAGCATGTTAAGGCAAGTGGAATTTTCAATAGAATTGAGTTAGTCGTTGTGTCGCCTCTGCTCAGGTAATATACTTAACCCGTAAGGCTTATTGATCTGATCTTAACGCTATTATTTGGATTCTTGCTTGAGAATAGTTATCTTGAGTTAAACATGCTTATTGACTTATGTTCTGCCATAAAGCTCCTTTGAAAGCAGTTGTGTACTTTACCAACAACAAACCAAATGTACCAACAAGAGGAAACAATATTTCTTTCCCGCACCAAACCAACAAAACAAAAAATTCATTCAATATTTCCTACAATCTCCATAACCAGAAGGAAGTATCATACTCCTTCAAGAGCTGGAAACTGTTCTTCATCTTGATCGCCAATCCCCAGCAGCTTCCTCTCGACTACTCCGCCACCTCTAGGAGCCAACATTTTCGCAACTATCTCACTCTTAAATTGGGTGTTGACAAGATACCTCACAGAGAGCTGAAGATGCATCCCGAGATTGTCGACTAACCTTTGCAGGACAATAGGCCAGTATGATAATATCCTCAGTTTCATATTGAATGCCTGCTCCAGTAAATGAGCTTGATACTTCCTCAGATGCGAAATCTGCACATTCCCGAATCCATCTAATTCGAAGTACTCAGGGTCTTCCTTGTCGTGCATGTAGGAAGCTTGCTTGTGTAGCTGTCTTCAGACTCCAATCCTTCTTCATGTATTCAGGGTTACATGTGTAATCACTTAGTTTCTCCATTTCAAGGATCTTTATCACTTGCTCCACAGACTGTTCCTTCATCTTGATGATTAGCTTTTCACCAGCTTCTTTGATGCTTCCTTGGATCTCTGAGAACGTGACAGAGTATTTGGTAATAACAGATATGAACACTTGCCCAATGTAGTCCCAGATAACTCTGATGAAGTCGACCGGTTTTGTGTGGATATCGTCCACATATCGTGAGAGAAAATTTCCAGGAATACTGATCTTGGAATAACCAGACATTCGCACTTACTTAAAACCTCGATTTCATCCATCAAGAACTCGGTTACCTTTGACTGTGCTTGCAGATCATCTGAGAATTCGCTTAACATATCAGCTAAACGGGTAGTGAAGTGCATACTTTAATCAGCTAGGTATTCAGAGAAATCTCCTTGGACAAGAATCTTTATGAGAGATTCCTTGGCAGAGTCCATCATTGCCATCAACTCCAGGACACTTATTTCCTTCTTCTGCGTGGTATTTCTTTTGACTTCAGCCAAAGAGGAGGCGATAAGCATTTCCTGGATCTGTGTTTGCTCGTCAGCTAAAACCTGGAAGCCCACGATGTCACTTCCAATCATGGACAACTGTGGACGAGTCCTAACAATTAACTCCCCTCCAAAGTTTCTAACATGGACAGAACCTATTGTTGATTGAAGCCCCACTACTAAATAAAAGCTCCTGTTGATTCCAGCAACTTGATGTTGACCTCCAGCTTGGTAAGGCGGACGAGGAGGACCAGCTCCAAGGCGTAGTTCTAAGTCTGGCCCGACCTGTGACAGTTAAGTAAAACGTTTAGATAGAACCTTAAAACGAAATGAAAAGACTATGAACGAGAGAGCTCACCACATGAGAATGTCTTCCTCTGGGACGTCGTCCTCTACCATGTCCTCCATCACGTCCATCACCAACAGATTGAATAATAGGCAGTCGATTTAGACCCCGACAAGCCTGTGGCGACATGTTCAGATGTTCTTGGTCAGTCATAATACAAACTGACGAAAATATGATAATAAAAACACTAACTACTCACTGTGTGATATGAAAACGGTATGACATTGAGGGAATGACTGGCTGGAACACAAGTGTTGTAAGTTCTGAAGCAAATGTAGCAAAACATCATATTCTCGTCAAAGCAAGCTATTAGGGCCGGGTTTTGTCGGCAGACTTGACATAAAGGTGATTGGATATGACCCTGCTCAGTACGAGCGTAATTCATGTGTAAACCCTGACAAATTCGTGGAGCTTGATGACGCCAACAGTAGTTCATGGTGGAGGAGCTTCCACAAAGGTGACATGTCTGGAAAGACATCTGAAAAGAAAACAAGGTTTCTTAAACGGAAGAAGAGAAAGAAGAGATATATTGAATAATGTTCTATGCAAAAGAAGAATACAAAAAATAAAAGAACTTTCTTCCAGCAAGAAGAGCAGAAAGATGCAACTAGGGAACATGATTGCAATTAACGCAGAGACTCAAGAAGAAGACAAAATAAAAGAACTTCTTTTCTGCAAGAAGAACAGAACGATGCAACTAGGGAACAGGATTAAATTAACGCAGAGAGCCAGAGACTCAAGAAGAAGAAGAAAATAAAATAACTTCCTTTCTGCAATAAGTACAGAACGATACAACTAAGGAACAGGATTGAAATTAAGGCAAAGAGGACAAAATAAGAAACAGACTAAAAGAAGAATACAGAGAAGAGAAGAACACAGAATTAGCAAACTTACTGTTCCAATTGAACCTGGAATCAAGCTTGCTGAAGAACAGAGATGACGATATGCCAAGAAACGATCTTAGCTTGCCTTCAAGAAGAGAGATGAAGAAACATGAAACCAGAGTAAAAGAAGAACACTAACAAGAGAAAACCCAGAATGAAAAAAAGCAAACGCACAGTTCCAATTTCCGAAGTACAAAGACGAGTATACAAAGAAACGATCTTCGCTTACATTCAAATAGAGAGATAAAGATAAATGAAACCAGACTAAAAGAGAACACGAAGAAGACAAAATCCAGAACAAAAAGCAAACTCACAGTTCCAACTTCCGGAAACAGAGAGACGATATGCAAAGAAACGACCTTGCCTTGCGTTCAAGAAGAGAGATGAAGAAACCTCAAATGTCGAACGAGAGAAAAGCTAAAAAGGGTCGTTTAAAAAAATTAGAGCGTTTTGTTCAAAAAGAAGGAAGGAAAAAAAAAAAAAACAATTAGAGCGAAATTTATACCTCATTCTCTTCATTTGGGTTTTCCCTCGTAGCCCAACACTCTTTGTAACTGGACCCAAGTTCGATAAATGGGCTTCCCAGCTCAGGCCCACGGTGACAATAGGGATTCAGCATTGAACGAGAGAAATCGCCTTACCACCGCCACGTTCGATTTCTCCCAATTGACGGAGTTCTCTTCTCCACCGATCAGATCTCGGTCCAGATGACTTTCTCGTGGTGTCGCGAAATCGGATTTCGCGAATTCTGCGGAGCACTAACGCGGCGAAATCTATCATTTCCTCTGCCGATCCGACGCACGGCTTCGCCTCGCCGTGGCTTGGCGGTCTCCTCAATCGGAAATCCCCGAGGATATCATCGACGAATTCTCTCCGATTTCGGATGATGAAAAATGAAAATGTTAAGATCCAAAATTGTCGCCTAATATCGACTCTCTAAGAGCATGATTATCGCAAGTCTCTTAGCATTAATGGTAATTAAAATAAATGCAAAATCACCTTTAAAACTAAGAAACGTCTTTTAATTAAGAGACAAAGACAGAGCTAAGAGACGTCCACGTGGCAGCGAGTGGGTGTTTTTTTTTTTCTTTCTCTCTCTCTCATTTCGCGATTACAACCAAAAAACGGAGAGAACCCGGAGGCGATCGTTTGATTCCATCATTCCATAGCCGGAAATGAAGGTGACATCGGCATGAACGAAGAAGCTGGTGAAGATTCTGTATCATCAGTCGCTGCGGATAATGGGTGTGATTTCAGCGGAAGAAGAAACCGTTTCTTCTTCGTCTTCGAGCAATTCAATCGAGTCTTTGAGGACCATTTTGTCTGATCCTACAACGTATGTTCCTTTTTGTTTTCGCGTGGTTTTACCCTTTTTTGTGGGTTTTAAAGGCGCTGTTGAGCTCATACGATTCTGTTCCAAAAACCCTTGAATTCTCCAATAATGGAAGTAGGGCTGGGAATTTGAACCGTTCGGGTTTTTCGGTTTCGGTTAGTCGGTTTTCCGGTTTTTTCGGAATATGAAACCTATTCCGAATCGAACCGACTAATAATTCGGTTCGGCTCGGTTCGGACACGGTTTATTCGGTTATTTCAATTCGGTTATTCGGTTTAGTATTTTGGGCCAAAAAGATTTTGAAAAGTAGGCTTTTTTGTGCAAATAAAAACACAATGGCCTGGGCTTTTTGTGCAAAAAACACATGGCCTGCTAACAAGAAAAACAAAAGATTTGTCTTTTCTCTCAGATTAGGTTCACGAAGAAGAACACAAATTAGCTTCATCTCCTCCAGTTTACGCTTCCAGGTTCTCACATTTGACACGATCGTACGAGGTCACAATTCACTCAACACGATCGTACGAGGTCACAATTTACCGACCGACGAGCGTCCGATGAATCCCGAAGACACCGGCGACGAGATCTGAAAGGCGGAGCTCACGGTATAGAAGAAGAAGAAGATGATGATGAAGGATGATGAATAAGAGAAGAAGAAGAAGAAGAAGATGATGATGGTTATGAATCAAAGAGGAAGAAGGAATAAGAAGAAGAAGGAGAAAAAGAACAAGATGATGGTCATGAATTGAAAAGGAAGAAATAAGAAGAAAGATGATGATGAATAGAAGAAGAAGAAGGTGATGGTCCTGAATCGAAGAAGACTAATGGAAGAAGATGAGGAAGAGAAAGAGAAGAACGGCGGCTAGAACTATAAGAGGCTAGGGTTTTTTGTTGTTCGGTTAACCGTTCGGTTTGGGTGAACCGAACCGAAATTTTCGGTTAACCGAAGCTAATTCAAACTCATTCCGATCGGTTTACTCAAATTAAAGAAACCGAACCGATTTGTCCAAATTTCGGTTCGGTTCGGTTCGGACAAATCGGTTCGGTTCAAATTCCCAGCCCTAAATGGAAGCATAGATGTAGCACTTTCTGAATCTTGGATAGGGTGGACTTTGATACTTTTTAAGTTGGAAACCATTGGATTGGTATTGATCATGCTTGCGTTTAATTTATAGCCTATTTTGTTGTTAAATTTGATTTTCTTTGCACAATTTTAGAGGGTCTTTGATGGCTGATGCTATGATTTTACCTTGCGGGCACACTTTTGGAGCTTGAGGAATTGAACAAGTGAAACCGATGGTACAGAGTTTTGTTTCTGCTATTTGCATTTGTCTCTTTTCTTTTGCTTATGAAAGCTATTTTCCGTTGTGTTCGTGATTCAAACCATTCATCGAAGAGAAAACGACAAGGATTTGATCAAGTAATTTGATACTACTATTCATATGACCTCTCACATTTATTTCTGTTTCAAACAAGAGGTTCCTTTCTTTTTTTTTTCCCTGCGATTTATTTCTCGGTCGTAGGTATTTTCTTATGATGGAAGATTGCGGGAGTTGCTAAAGAGTGTGAAGCTTCAGTATCGTTCATTGGCTAAAGCTGTTTGTATGTTTACTCTTGTTATTTCTTCTGCCCGACCATTCTTGACATGCTTTGAGATAAAATTTTGCAGAGAAGGAAGCTAGGCTCGGGGATAAGACTTCTTCCAAAGAGTGAACAAGATATTAAAGTTGCCTCAAACGTGAAATTCAAGACCAAGTTTGATAAGAATCGAAAGGACAAACGAGCACTGATCCGTGCATCTTCCATTTTTCCCGAGTCATCTTACTCAATGTCATCATCGAGCAAGAAAAGAATGGAGCTAGAATTGTATGTCATGTATGTTATAAATTGTATATCATGTATGTTTTATAAAATTTAATTTGCAACAATTATTAAGTTTTCTAAAATTAAAATTGTTAATTTAATTTTATTTTTATATTAATATTTTTTTTTTCTAAGAACCACAAGTTAAGAGCCTACCATTGGAGACACATAAAATTTTAAAACAAAAATACAATCTCTTAACTCTAAACTTTACAAATTTAATACTAAAACTAGATTTTGATCCGCGGTACACCGCGAGATGATTTAATTTTAAAGTTAGTATAAAAATATTTTGTAAATTGTATCTCCTTATAACATATTTATTTATATTATAGTTTACAATTGTTATTAAGTAACGGTATATCACGAGTCCACGAGATAATTATTAATAAACTGAGGATTTAACCCGTATTAAAGCGGTATATAAATATTGATTCAAATTCGTCCGCCATATAAATCATTTCCGAAATATAACCCGTTCCGTAATTTCTTAACCCGTCCTGTGATTTGTATTAAAAAAAAAAAGATTAAATCCGTATTGAAGCGGCGGATTAATGATATTTTAATCTTTTTATTATTATTGATTCAAAAACCCGTCCCGCCAAACCCATCCCGCCAAAAAACTCATTTATTTTATTAATGTTCTTATTTATGATATGATTCTGAATCATTGTCTAAATATTTTAATCGATGTAGAACGTTGAACATATATTTTCGTCAATTGGATAATATATGTCCGTTTTTAAAATTTCGAATCACAGTATATGCAGAAAAAAAATTGATTTTTTTCTACTTTATGTATTATATGATGATTCAAAACAGTTAAAAACAAATCAAACAAAGATGATAGGAGAATCATAATTATAAATCTTAATCAAATCTTCTAAAAATCTAAATTATTAAATATGGAATATCCGGTGTATGAGTTGGGTTAAATATAACCCGACCCAACAAATTTTTAGTGAAGGAATTTTTAAAATGGGTCGGATATCCGATATACCCAAAAGCTTTTTTACCCACCCGTCACAAAAAGTGCTGCGATTATACTAGTATACTAGGATATGACCCGCGGTACACCGCGGGTTAATTATTTGATTTTTTATTTTTATAAATTGATGAATTTATTGTGTATAATATTTTTTGTTGTATACCGCGGGTCACATGCGTTGTATCTAAAATAAAAAATTTTAAGTTGTATTTGTTTTGTTTAGTGTTTAAGATTGTATAATTGTATTTTGATTTGTTATTTATAGGATTTCACCTGTGGTATATTGTCTCGTATTAATATTGACCCAAACCCGTCCAACCATATAATCTAAAATGAAATTAAACATCATTTTGTTATTTTTTTAATAACACTTTTATTTAAATGTCATATAATTCGAGTTAATTTGAAAGTTGCTTTCAAATAGTTTCCATGTATATTTTTAAATTAGTATGTGTTTTTGGACCAACCCGTAAAAACAATTTATAATTGTATCTTAAAATACTAATTAGGATTTCACCTGTGATATACTGTCCCATTTTAGATAATTGTAAAAATTAAAGAAAGATCCGAATGACTCAATTTCGGGTCTGAATAAAATAACGACATGATTAAATGCTCAATTTGTTCTTAAAAATGTTAATATAGATTACACACATATTTTTATTCATCGATTGAGTAATATATGTCCGTTTTAAAAAATTTGAATTGTAACATATGCAGAAAAAAAAAACTAAAATTTACTAACTATTTATATATTTTATAATAATTTAAAATAATATAAATATAAGATCAAATAAAAGTGAAATAAGAATCATATATTTATGTTTAAATTAGGTAGAGAGGTTTTAGGAAATTAGTGCAAATTTGTTATATTAGCATTAAATCATCATATTTGATTTCTTTATCTATAAAAATCGTGGAGAATATACCATAAATAAAGCGTTTAAATATAGTAATTAGTTGAGAAAGTATATATATTTTAGATTTTATTAATTATTTTCGTTTTTTAATTTTGCCAAAATTTAAGGAAAGATCCGATTGAAGATTTCCGGGTCAAAATTAAATAAATTTGACCCGATTTGGATACCCCAAAAACTGCTGCAAAAATGTATAGTAGATATATCGCTAAGATCCAAAACTAAGAGAGTACCAATAATCATGCTCTAAAGAATTTGCCTGGCGCGTGTCGAACTCTGACATGAGACGAAACGCGTGGACAACATATGTGTTGAAATTTCAATTTCTGGATTATTATATATCTTAGACGGATAGATTTGCATGACAATTCGATCGTACGATTGTTGTTGTTAAATACTCTGATCCAACGATTACTATTCATATAAAGGTTTGAACCGTCCGATCGCTGCATATTAGTAAATCTTTTTTTTTTCGACATCATTAGTAAATGTTTTTTTTAAAACAAGAGAAATTTACAGCAATAACCAACAAAAATTATATAATTTACAATCTAACCTATAAAAAAATAGATAATGATATTCAACATATTTTTTACAATATTTACCATTATATCCTTGTTTCTATTTCTCACCATCACTCTATTCTCTTCTTACACTAATCTCCATCACCACCACAACCAGAGCCGGTCCGGTATAATCCGGGGCCAAATACAAAAAAAAAAAAAATTAGGGTCTTTCTAAAAGTAAAAATTGCTAAAAAAAAATTTTTTTGCTAATTATGGAGTATTTATAATTATTATTTAACAATTTTTCTTAATTTTTGTACATTGTTTTCTAGTTATAGGACTTTTTTCCTAATTATGAGATCTTTATATTAAGGATGAAGCTTTTATGTTTATTTTGAGGCCTATTGTAAAGTCTATTTAATTCATTTTGAGGTTTAAAAAAAAAAAAAAAAATTTCTACATAATTGGGCCTCGAAAATATGAGGCCCAATACAAATGTATCATAGAAATTGGTCCAGGGCCGGGCCTAACCACAACCACATCATCTACCACCACATTATCACCACCACCGCCATCGCAATTACTACCGCCGTTGCAATCCCCACCACTACCGCAACTACCACGGTCACCTACACCACCACCATCACACCGTCACCTACACCACACCACCACCACTACTACAACCACCAAGTCGCTCCCACCACCTTTACAACCGCCATTATCACTGTAACCGCCACCACACCATCACCAGCGTCATTACGTCGTCATCACCGCCACCACCAACATTACATCGTTACCATTACCACAATCACTACCGCTATCTCCATTATCACAATCACCACCACAACCACATCGTGAAAAGTTAACTTTTGGTATCGTCCATTTCGTCGGAGTTATAATCGTTACCTCTAGTTCTATTCTAGTTTTTTTGGGGCAAAAGTTCTATTCCATTTTATTACATTTTATACTATTTCGTTTATATGTTATATGTAGATAACTGAAAAATATGTATCCGAAATTAAAATATCAAAGTATGTTTGATGTAGAAAAAATATAAGTTTTTTAAAATCAGAATCTTGAAATTGAATAAAAAACTTTTTCAACAATTATTACAAAAAAAAGTAAGGATGGGGTTTAATTGTCTGTTGCTCTATGTAGGAAAGAGAAACCTTGTTTTTTTTTTCCTCTAGGCTTCTTTTTTTTTCTCCACGCTTGTGCATCCACTACCCAAATCTAATTTAGTCATTTCACAACCCTTTAGTGTTAGTTTCTTTATTTTTCATTTTATAGTGCTATAAATTTAATTAAGTTATCAAAATATGTTATTCTTGCAAATCACTCTAAAAACAACCCTTCAAAAATTGAGAACAATGACGGTTTAGGCATTAGACTAATGTGTGAGTTTTTTTTTTTCTTTTTTTTTTGTAACAATTTGAATTAACTTTGTTTATGAATTTTTCTTTTTTCCTAAATTGTGATTGTGAATATCATATATAATGAAAAGTAGTAATACAATACATTAATTACCTAAGTAGAATAACCTTGGAAAAAAGGCTAAAAACAAGGTTACAATAAATTTGGGTTAGTTCAGGGAAAACTATCTGATCTATAGCGGCATTAGCGGTCGCCATTGCCTTTTATGTATTCTAGTCGTGATGGTATTGCGGACCTCACGATCGATACCATTGAAAATGATTTGTGAGGAAATCAAGTGTGCATTGTGAAGGACATTGTTTATCTATTTCCATATATAAAAGATGCGCGTGGCCTGAGCAACAATTTTTCTGAGGAGAAAAGGAGCAATGGCGGATCTTTGTCGGGTCCACGAGAGGAGTTCAGCCCAAATGCTGAAAAGCAGCTGTGTTGGAGACAACCTATTGAAAACCAAGTTCCAAATCACCGCAGAAAAGTCACAAGTAATGAGGAGATGATCCCTTGTTTCTGTTTACTGCGAGCAAAGGCAGCAAGAAGTTGAATCGCAAATACCCCAAGTAGCGAGATTCTGCCTCGTTGGTAGTCTGTTAAGATGGGCAATCCACATGTTGAACGCATGCTTAGGAACCGAACCCTTAAACCAGACAGACTTTGACCAATCTTTCACCATTTCTCTGACCAATCTTGACAAATTATTTAATAAACTATATAAAATTTTATATTCAAATCTGAAAAATCATCTTAGTTATAACCGATAACGTACAGTAATTGTTTCTTTTTACATTGATAAAGAAAAAAGCATATGACCTATAATCTGATTTATTTATTTCAGAAAATTCTTCTTTTATTTAATGCATTTAAACCACACACAAAAATTCAACAATAAGACCTTTAAATTAAAAGCCAAGTCACTACAAAAAAGAAGGGATTTAAAGTCATTTTTCAAGTTTCCTAAAGTCAGTTTTTAAATGACCCTAACAATATAAAGTCATTTTTGAAAATGATACAACAAATGATGGGCTTTATATTTTGTCTTCAAAAAGTGACTTCAAACTTCAAAAAGTGACTTCAAACTTAAAGTCAGAAATCAATATGGGCCATAATTTTTTAATGGGCTTTATATTTTGTCTGAATCCATTTACTTGTCTGAAATCTAGTTATGTTTTTTGTCTGAATTTCAGTTTCATTTGTGTCTTTAATTTTTGTCTGAATTAAAACTGTAAAAAAAATGAGGAACAATAACCAAATAAATTATATATTTTCATGTTCCAAAGTCAAATAGAAAACAATATTTGATCAAAGTCTGATACAAGAATATCTGATTCAGCTATAAAAATAAAAACATATGATATGCTATATCTGATCATATTTCTATGCACTTCTTCTTCTAGTACCCTTGTGAACTGAAACAAAAACATATAATGTAGTCTCAGTTTGGTTATAGACGGCAACAACACTATCTATAATGTATCTCTGAAATCTACAACTTAGCTTTATACACTACCTATAACACTACTCAAATCAACACTACCTATAACACTACTCAAATCAACACTACCTATAACACTACTCAAATCAAATTCCAACACAAGAGAGAGAGAGAGACAAGAGACAAGAGAGTTAGCACCTTACTTCAGTATCTTCCTTCAGTTTTCGATTTAACAAGAACAAAAAGAGCATCTGTCACGATTTCTAGCTTATCTTCAAGTCCTTTCAAACGGGTTTTAGCTCCAAAATCTCAGCATTAGACGACATCACAGATTCCTGATCCAAAAGATACTTGGACGGTGTTACTCCACGTCCAACACATCGAACTCGACCTGTAGGCTCAGAACCAAACACTTGTTCAAATGCATCATATGGTCTAGACTCAGTATTGGATGCTTCATCTTGTATATTCTTAATCATTACTTGGGAAAGCTTATCTTGCAAAAATAATGAAACAGAGATTCATAAGTTACAGAGATCATCAGGCATATAAAACAGACAAGTTACAAATTACAGAGATCAACCATCAATCTAAAAGCAAAACTGACCATAGTGAAACAGCAAGTTACAAGTTACAAAACAGACAAGTTACAAGTTCAAAGTTACAGAGATCAACCATCAATCTAAAAGCAAAGCTGACAACTTACCACAGTGATTCTTGCTTCGTTGCTCAATAAACTTCCATCTGATCTAGTCCTTGATGCAATAAAAAGTTCAGCTCGATTTGGTTCTTTGCCTGTCTCCTCTTCCTAAATGTACAATTGCACCAAGTTAAAGAGGATTGACAGAATCATAGTACTAATTAATGCAGAATAAAGATTGACTAAACGTACCATCTCATTAGCTTTTCTTGCTAAACTCTTTTTTCCAAGTGTATGTGGCATTTTATGATTGTTTCGACTATTAATATTACGCTCTCTCACTCTCTATATTGTAACAAAGCAGTACATAGTTATTTGTATGTGATATATATAAACTATAACGTAGTTGTGGAATAGATTTTACCTTAGCCTTATCAGTGAACTGCATTTCCACAAATTCTTTCCAATGATCTTCAGGAATAAGTCCTGGTCTTGCTTCAAATGCTTCCTCTATAGTATTTCTTCTGTACTTCATCCAAATGCGTTGTTTCAAGTCTCTGCATCTGACTCCTAATGCAGATAAAACATATTTCTTCCTCCTCCTTGGATTATCAAACCAGAACTTTTTCTGTGTTAATGTAAAAATGAACGGAAAAGATGGTAAGAGCTTATCTAAAGTAAAGTCTAATAGTTAATAGGTAATGAAAATACCTGAATCACTTTCCAAGCCATTTCTTTTCTGTAATTGGGAACTTTCCTCCAATCGGTGTAGTTAATAGGTAATATATTAAGATCATGACTCAGTGAACCTAACCACGAACCAAACAAACCTCCAGAATCTTTAATAACCTGTCCTCTTCTATTGAAATCAACCATAACCCGCCGATTTTGCAAGAAAAGAAGTTAAAACATGAAAAAGCTAAAGAAGAAACTAACCTATGACACGAACTCTCCATTTTCCACTAGCTAATTCTGGTCCAAGAGGAGGGGGAGCTTGAGAATCAGTCTCAGACATACTACACATATAAAGATAGAAAATAATTGTTAGAATACTTTTAAAATCATAATCATCAAGCAAAATTCAAGCAAATATAATCACCTCCATATTATCATATAAATCAGATGGAATCTGAGAACTTTCAAGATCTTCTATTTGCCTCACTAATCTAATATCAGAAACATTATCAGATATAGTCATTGAACTTTGAATAGGAGGATCTTCAATGACGACTTGAGGAGGAATTTCATCTGAACTAGTAGGATCTTCCATATCATACAAGTCTCTTGGTTGGACGTGAACAACAACACTCCAATCTTTTTCTTGTGGATCTTCCACATAATACACCAATCTTGCCTGAGAAGCCAACACATAAGGCTCATCTTCCTCACCACTTCCAGTGTGTATCAAACGAGAGAAATTTACCATAGAGTGACCAAACTGATCCTTCTTAAATCCTCGAGCATCACGAGTATCAACCCATTTACATTTGAACAACACAACTCTAAATGAATCATAGTAGTTCAGTTCTAGAATTTCAGTTAATTTTCCATAGTAAGAAACATTTCCAGATCTAGGATTAATATCACGAGAACTTGCATAACTAATGGTTTCAGCTGACACAAAAATTCCACTATTCTGAGTTTTCAAGTCTTGATCCCTTTCTATAATTCTGAACTTGAAGCCATTGATATTATAAGCTGAGAAATTTAGAACCTTACTAGATGGACCAGCTGCAAGGCAACGCATATCATCAGACATACCTCCGAGGCCATTCTTTTCTACCTTTTGCTTAAGCCATTGACTAAAATGGATATGCACATGTTGATCTATATCTATCACATGTCCTCTTTTTCGACGTCGTAATTGTGATCTGCTTAATTCACTCTTAAATACCCTACAAATTTTCAAAGAGAGACAATGGTAACTTTATGACCACAATCAATTAAAAACTATAAGCCTAAAATAGAAAACTTACTTGCGATAGTCATCTAAGAATGAACTATTGACTAGAATGTATCTGTGAGCTTGTTGCCTTTCTATAGGACTAAGTGTATCCAATCTGGAAGCACTAACAGGTCTCCCAAGAAAAGGAAAACTGTGTGGAATTTCTGATTCAGGACCTAAGTCATGCTCCACCACAGGGTGATCATCCACTCTCCTAATACGATTAAATCTTGTTTCTACATCATCAAGATACATAGAGCAAAACGTAAGACACTCATCAGCAATGTACTGTTCACAAATGGACCCTTCAGGTTGTGCTCGATTTCTAACATAAGACTTGAAACGCCCAAAGATCCTACAGAGAAAATATAGTATTGTTACAAATTTATTAAAGATCCTACAAAGAAAATATAGGATCTAAGTTACCTTTCAATTGGATACATCCATCGAAATTGAACTGGACCTCCTAGTTTCACTTCTTCTGTTAGATGGATGGTCAAATGTACCATTATGGTGAAAAATGATGGAGGAAAAATCATTTCTAAATGGCACAATGTAAGTGCAATATGCTCCTGTAACTTATCTACATCCTTAAGATCCAATACCTTTGAACTTATTTCTCGAAAAAAGCAACATAACTCTGTTACAACAAATGAGACCTCTCGAGGTAAAACATTACGTATAGCAATGGACAACAACTAACCCATCAAGATGTGGCAATCATGGCTCTTTAATCCAATCATTTTTCGTTGATTCAAATCAGCACAAGCAGAGATATTTGAAGAATATCCATCTGGAAGCTTTACACTCTTTAAAATAGTAAGAAATCGATCTTTCTCTTGTGTAGTCATCATGAAACATGATGGAAGATATTTTCCATTTTCATCAGACCATAACTCCTGACGAATACCAAGCTCTTGTAAATCTTTTCTAGCACTAAGATTGTCTTTTGACTTTCCTTTGTCATCTAATAATGTAAAGATGAGATTATCAAATACATTTTTCTCTATGTGCATCAAATCGAGATTGTGACGTAACAGAAGATATTCCCAGTAAGGCAGTTTAAAAAATATACTACTCTTCCTCCACTGACTTTTCCTAGCTTCTACTATGCGCCTCTTCTTTCCAAGCTTATCAACATTCTTTCCCAAAATTACATCAACATTTCCTTGTTGTTGTAATATAACAGTTCCTGATGGTGTAATAGGAGCATCCCTTGTTTCAATACATCCATCAAAATGTTGCTTATCTCCCCGAAATTTATGATTTTGAGGCAGAAACCGACGATGTCCCATGTAGCAGTATTTTTTTCCATGGCGTAAACGACACTCTATTGCATCATAATTACAAGAAGGACAAGCTAATCCTGTATATATGTTCCACCCGGATAAATTGCCAAGTCCTGGAAAATCACTGATAGTCCATAATAAAACTGCACGCATACTAAATGTCTCTTTTGAAGCAGCATCAAATGTTGGCACACCATCAAACCATAACTCTCTGAGTTCTTGTATAAGAGGCTGAAGATAAATATCAATATCATTACCCGGCATGTGTTTTCCAGGGATTATCATTGAAAGAATCATTGATGTTTGCTTCATAGACATCCAAGGTGGAAAATTATAAGGAAACAAGAGCACATGCCATACACTATAATTTGTATTCATAGAGCCAAATGGATTAAACCCATCAGTTGCTAATCCTAGTCTTACATTCCTTGGATCTGATGCAAACTCTGGAAATTGTCCATCAAATGATTTCCAAGCCTTGCCATCTCTTGGATGTCTTAGCTTACCATCTTTATTCTCAGAATCAGCATGCCACCTCATGTATTTAGCAGTCTTGGATGACATGAAGAAACGCTGCAAGCGTGGTTTCAGCGGAAAGTATCTAAGCACTTTAGCAGCTTGTTGCTTCTTTTTCTTCTTTTTATCCAATGTTTCATCAACTACTGTAGATGTCTTCCACCTTGAACTTTCACAAACTTTGCAAGTCTCTCTAGATGCATCATCTCCCCAAAAGAGCATGCAGTCATTAGGACAAACATGAATATTTTCATAGTTAAAGCCTAACTTTCGAATGATCTTTTTCATATCATTGAAAGATTTTGGCAACTTTGCATGCTCAAAAGCTTCTTTCAAAAGGTCAAGTATCATTGACATTCCTTTGTCACTGATTCTAGTTATACACTTGATGTGATACAACTTGAGCATGAATGATAACTTGCTAAAAGAGTGACACCCTTCATACAAAGCTTCATTGCAGTCTGCTAGCAAATCATCAAACACCTCATTTTGCTTTGAATGATCCTCCATAGTAGGCATACTAGCAGCATCATCGTTAAAACTATTACTCATACTTGGAAAAACATCTCCAAGCAGATTCATAGTCGGGTTTTCAACATGATCATCATCAGATTCATGTTCTAGTCTCACTTCTTGCTCTTGAAAATCCAGTTCTTCACCATGGAGATACCAATTAATTTGTATACGTAGGCAGAAAACCATGACAGACTAAATCACCCTCAATCTCAGTCCTATTCTTGTGTTTAACAAGAAAACAACGCTGACAAGGACATTTGGTCATATCTGTCTTACTATAACCAAAAGCAAAATCCAAAAACTCTTTGACTCCATTTATGTAGTCTTGAGATAAACGGTGTTTTGTTATCCAAGACTTGTCCATTTTACTCTAAAAATCAAGTAAACTAATTATCAGATATGACATATTAAAGTTCTCAGCTTATAACATATAAAGTTCATTCAAAGTTAAACCAATAATTGCAACTAAGTTACAAGCCATAACCAAAACACTGTGATGATTTCCATAGAAATGAAAATCGAACACCATAAACATAGAAAAATAATTGATGAATCAATTATTACTTTCTGAGAATCTTGAAACAATTTTAGTATCATCCAATTATCGTTTTTAAGCAGCCAATGTTCATAAGTAAAAGACAAATCCGGAAACAATTTTAAGCAGCTAATGTTCATAATTTGAGAATCAGAGAAAGTTCATAAGTAAAAGAACAATTTTAAGCAGCTAATATTCATAATTTGAGAATCAGAGAATCCAGAAACAATTTTAAGCAGCTAATAATGTTCATAAGTAAAAGAACAATTTCGTTTTTCGTTTTTAAGCAGCTAATGTTCATAATTTGAGAATCAGAGAATGATACCTGAATTTTTCTGAAATTTGAGAATCCCTTTATGTCCTTCAACGAAATGGATCCTAAAATTCTTCAGGATCCCTTATGTCCTTCAACGAAATTCAAAATTAGTGTTAGAATCAACATGTTTCTAACACTAGAAATCAATTGAACACCACACAGATCCAACCTAAGAACGATTGACCACCACACATATCCAACCTAATGCGTTGAACTATAACGAATCGACCATAAATAAACGATTGAACGAAACAAAAGTGTTGAGCTACATCTGACTCCTAATGCGTTGAGCTATAACGAATCGACCAGAAATCTATCAATCTTAACGCATTAGATTTTGATGGAATTGAAGATCTTCGAAATCTATCAATCTTAACGCATTAGAAATTGAAGAATTACCTCAATCGAAGAAATCAGAGAAACGAAGCTCCTCGATTTTGATGGAATTGAAGATCTTCGATTCTGATTTTGAATGATCGAATTTGGTTCTCGTGAAAGCTTTGGAGAAGAAGATCTTTGAAGATCGAATTTAATTTTGGTTCTCGTGAAAGCGTTTGGGCTATAAAAGCCCATAGATTTTAGAATTTAACATCAAATAATTAAGTCAGTTATTGAACTGACTCTAAATCCCTTATAGTTTAAGAATTTAAGGTCATTTAGTAAAATGATCCTAATAAAATGACTTTAAATCCCTTGTTTCTTGTAGTGAGTATAGATGACTTTCTTTCAAATATTATTATTTCATAAAATCAAAACAATTTAAATCTTATAAAGAAAGAGTGTGAGGTATCAATGCTTACGTAAAAATCATCTATTGTATATGGATCCTTCGCAACTTCAATGTATTAGTCTCCCAATCTTTAAAATCAGCAGAATCACATCAGATCTCGCGATCTTACCAACTTACCATCGACAAAGCCAAACTTTTTACGGCCTCGTAGTGATGTACGAAGTTCATGCGCCCACTCATCATAATTAGATCATGTTAACAGAACTTGAGAAATAAGGCAACTGGGATTAGTCACTAGGTGAAAGATCATAGGGATTGATCTTTCGTTTAGCCGTAGACATTCTATGAAAATTTAGATTATTTTGAAGAACCGTCTTCCACAACGCGCTGCTTAAGCGAGAAAGTCAAACGAAGACATTCAATAGATGCTTTGGTACCATGTCAGAAAACAGAGTTTAGAGAAAGGTAATCTCTGTCTAACTGTCTTTCTCATTAGTATTTTTTTTTTTTTTTTGACATCTTTAGATCGACAAGGCCCGATCCATAGCCAATCCCTACTACGCGGGGTAACGTGACTTAGTGGAGTCGAATTCCGGTGGGGAAGGCGGAGTCAAATAGACTTAAGCACTTGACTAAAGGCACATCTCCTAATTTTCATTAGTATTTAAACAAAATAAATTATATTTTTTGACTTTTGAAATATATTTTTGGTCAAAAATATATATGTAATAATATTTTATATCTATATTGGTAATATGTCGATGTGAATTTATTTTTAAAAGTTTATGTAAGAAGCAATCAATTATTTTGTGAGACTATCATTCACCGTGGACTTTTACATGTTTGACTAACAAATTACTTGAATATTTTTTATCAATTCTTTTTAAGAAAACAGATATATATATATTCTACAAACTTATAAAGGCAGCAATCAACACCCTATGATTTTAGTTTATCCACTTTCTCAATAAATTCACGAACATGTTTCATGATATATCCGAAAAAGAAAACAGAAATTATCTATAGAACCTAAGATCATCTGCAACCTAACACTAAGAGTTTGAAACATAGCCCGAAAGACTTTAGATTATAAGGTCAAAGAATCTACTATATTTTTTGCAGCTTAAGATTTCATAAAATGTTGTAAACAAAGTTTGTGTATACTAAAAATTATCTCCATAGAAATTGCATATTTAAATGAAAAGAAAAAAGTCAAAATTTTTACCTCTTTTTTAATTAGACAATGATTTTGTAATATGGAAAAAGTTTGAAACTTACATTTTTTTATTTTTTTTTAACAAAATACTCGTTTTCATTAATTTAGAGTTGGATACAAAACAAAGCAAGTGTTTCCTTAGCAAGAGTATCGGCAAGCCGGTTTTGATCTCTAGAGACGAAATTGAAAGAGCAAGCAATAAACATAGACGATAACGATAGGATATCATGGAGAATCCCGTGAAGATCCTTTGATTGGGTCTTCGAATTGAGAGCTTTGACAAGCACTTGCGAGTCTGAAGAGAAAGAGAGGTGGGTGAAACCCGATTCGCTTGCAACTCCAACAGCTGTGAGAGTTGCCAAAGCTTCGGCCAGTAGAGGAGATCGGACATGGTCAGCCGATTCAGATCCCTGCAGAGCAATTCGATGGTGATTGTCTTTGAAGATCCAGCCAAACCCGGCCTTGGAATTTTCCAGCCACGCAGCATCGGTGAAACAGGAGATGGTCTGAGGTGTTAGCTCTTGTCGGGTTGTCGGTATCCGGGGCGAGCTGAGTCGCGGAGCAGGGGACTGGGCGCGTTGCTATTCCTTCGATCTTAGGATGACAATAATTAGAGTTTCCTCTGATGTGATACGCTTCTTGCTAAAGATTAATTGGTTTCTGCTAGACCAAATAGACCAGAAGATCCAAGGAGCCAGGGGACCATCACCGATTCCTGAAGGTGGGAGACAAGTGAGTCTGTTGGTGGTCTCAATGCCCTCACGGACTGAACGGATAGCAGCAGGATTCAGGTTTTCTTTAAAAGGAGCTAGCTTCCAGATAGTCGAGGCAAAGTGGCACGAAAAGAACAAGTGGACTTCAGATTCCTCTTCCCCACAATGTGGGCATTTCACTGAATCACTAATGTGTCTCTGCTGCAGATTTGTTCCAACAGGTAAGGCCATTTGAGCAGCTTTCCAGAGGAGAAGTTTAATCTTTGGTGAACACTTGGTAGTCCAGATGTTTGATTTCCAGTTAAAGGTGTCAGGAGGCTGCAGAATTGGGTTAGGATCCTTGACAGTATCAATATTGAGGGATTCAAAGTACCCGGATTTGGTAAAGTAGATACCATCAACAGTTGGGAGCCAAGCCCACACATCTGGGTCTCCTAGCTTGCTAGGTCTCAAGCTCAGAATTTCCTTCTCATACATGGGGAGGACTTGTTGTATGATGGATTTGTTCCAACCAGAGGAGTCTCCTATTAAAAGATCAGCAATTGTCCAATGCTGGGAAGCTTCAGTAGGTGGTCCCATAGGCGATAGAGGAGTGTTCACGGAGAGCCAAGGGCATCTCTAGATAGGTGTGGAGAGTTCCGAGCCTAAAATCTTGCCCAAGTGAGGCTTTAGCAGGTCCCTGCCCACACAGATGCTGCGCCAACCATGTGAGGCAAAATTTGGGACTGAACACTCAAGAAAGGAAGTATACCTGCAGTATCTACCCATGAGAACCTTTGAAAGAAGACAGGAAGGGTTCTGGAGGAGTCTCCAGCTGATCTTGGCTAAGAGAGCTTTATTAAAGGATTTGATATCTCTGAAGCCAAGGCCACCAGTCTTGAAGGAGTTTGTCATTTTTTGCCAAGAAATCCAACACATTTTCTTCTTTGAGCTATTCGAATCCCACCAGAACCGGGTAAGAGCAGATTGGATTCTCTTGTATAGTGAGTTAGGGAGTTGAAAACAGGACATAGTGTAGGATGGGATGGCAGCCAAGACAGCTTTAAGCAGAGTGAGCTTACCCGCAGATGATAAAAATCGAGATGACCAACTAAGGGCTCTCTGTTTAATACGGTCAACTATTAGGCTGAATAAGTCTCTCTTCTTTTTTCCAAACAACTCAGGTAACCCTAAATATTTACCCTGGCCTCCTTCTTTACTGATATTAAGTGTGCTTTTTGCTCTTTCCTTCATCTCAAGTGGTGTCTTTGAGGAGAAAGTGATGGCAGATTTCTCTTGATTTATCTTCTGACCTGAGGCGTTCTCATATTTCTGTAGGATTGATTTTAATTTCAAGCAGCTTTTGAGATCGGAACGGCAAAAGAACATGGTGTCGTCAGCAAATAACAAATGGTTGACGCGTGGGCTGCCTTTGGCGACTCTAATACCAGGTAAGCTGCCATTGATTTGAGCTTTATTACACAAACCCGAGAGGACCTCACTGCATAAGATAAAGAGGTAAGGAGACAGAGGATCTCCCTGTCTAATGCCCCTCTGCGGTACCACCAATCCTTTAGCTTGGCCATTGATTAGATAGGAATAAGTTACAATGGTTACACATTGCATAAGCCAAGTAATCCACTGTTGGTGGAATCCCATTCTTTCAAAGACTACTTGTAGAAATCCCATTCTAGGCGGTCATAGGCCTTACTCATATCAGTTTTGACCGCCATGAAACATCTCTTTTTAGCACCTGAGTTCTTGAGATAGTGTAGAGATTCATGGGTAATCATAACGTTGTCAGAAATAGCTCGTTGAGGTACAAAAGCAGACTGGTTTTTAGAGATACAGTGATGGAGAATAAGTTGAAGTCTTTTGGTTAGAATTTTGGCAATGATTTTGTAGTAGACCGAGCAAAGAGCTATGGGTCTGTAGTCCGAGACTTTTTGAGGGCATGTTATCTTAGGAATAAGTCTAACATGAGTATGGTTGATTCTCTGTGGTAGGGTGCCCGTGATGAAGAAGGATTGGATCTCAGCAATGATGTTGTCTCCAATATTTTCCCAGTTTGACTGGAAGAAACTCGCTGAGAATCCATCAGGTCCCGGTGCCTTATCCGCGTGGATGGAGAAGCAAGCTAGTTTGATCTCAAGGGCAGAGGGCATGCTGATAAGCTTGTCATTCATCTCCGAAGAGATACAAGGATTTAGAGCTTCCAACACCACAGACTGTCTATCACCGTCATGGGACGTGAAGATCTCTTGGTAATAATCAGTAATAGCTTTGGTAATATCTTCTTCCTCATAAGCCGGGGTTCCTGTACTTGATTCAATGACAGAGATGTTGTTTATGGCATTTCTTCCTT